TCCAAGAAGACAAAATGCTAGAGAGCTTTTTTTGTTTGCTTGCTTGCTTGTAGTTATCCTTCACACTGGATCCCAACTCTCATTCCCCTGGTCTCCTGTTAAAAAAAAGAGAGGAAAAAAAAAAAAAGAGAAAAGACGCAAAGGAAAGGCTGGCTGGAAATACCTGTGTTTAGGAGGGAAAAGTGGTGGAAAAGAAGGTACATTGAATTTGAAGTGGGGAGGGGGGACAAAAACAAAACAAACAAAAAACCTCTGTTCAAGGCTTCCTTTAGTGCTCCGTGGATAACCTTGGGCCAAAATGTGGCCCAAAAGAGCTTTGTAAAAGGGAATGTACCTGACATTTGTGAGGTGTAGTCTTCACCACTATAAATGCCCTCTCCTGGGTAACATAACCCATAGGGTGCCTTCTTGAGAATTAGGAAAAATACCTCCACTGGAAGGAGACAGTAGGACAGTGGCTTGGGGTCTTTTATTATAAGAATTAGAAGAAGACATACTTTACCCCAGATGCCACTCTGACAGCTAGGCAAGTGGAATGTGGACTAGAGTCCAGCTTCCACCAAACCTCAAGTGAGCATCCTGGTGCAGGAAGCATCCATAGCTGCATATGGTAACCCTTCCTCAACAGGCTGCCAATGTCTCCAAGAGTCACAAAGCTACATACTCTCCCAGGGCATTTCATAGAGAAACCCACATCCCAGCTTATCTCACCACTTTGCCTCCACTTCAGGGTCCCAAAGCCTGTACCCTACTAGGAATCCCACTATCAGAGAATGACTCCTTCCCTAAGCTCTTAGGTACCAGTTACTGAGTCTTTAACCCTTTATGTCAAGAACTTGATCAGACTGCTTTTCCTACCACTAAGCACAGAAGCATCTGCACACCTGGGTAGCAGTGCTCTTTATAAACCATGGTCACACCCGCTATCTCAGAGCATTCTCTCAGCATTTACACAGAGGAAGCCATACCTAGATAGGTTAAGAAATTTGCCTGAGATTTCAGTGTTAGTGGTAGAGCCAAGACCCCAGCCCAGACTTAGGTGTGTCTACTCCGTTCCACCACAACTGAGGAACAAAGCTACTGACTTCAGTCCTACCAAAGCCCTGCTGGAATTTTGCTCTTCCTGTATCCCCAGCAACCCCTGACTCTTCTCCTCCAGTGTCCAGCCTCAAGGCAGAGGAGTTGCCTTTTTTTTTTCACTCAGATTTCATGAGGGTGGAGTTACCTCAAAGCCCAGCTTCTTTCTCCTCCTCAATTCCGGGAGAACTCCTAGGAAACCCAGAGGTCCTGTGTGAGGGCTGACCCTTAAGTGGGTCAAAGGCCAGGAAAGAGTCAGAGGGCAGTTACTCCTCTTCCTTCCCAGAAAGCATTCAAATAGTAACTGTTATGAAGGACACCGAGAGAGACAGTGCCCACTGTGAAGAGCAAGCCCAGGATCAGAGAAGACCCCCCCCACTTCCACACCCACACAAAATGAAGTGAACTAGAGTCTGAGAGAAACTCTTCTCAGTGTCTCCTGTCTCCTATGTTACCAGGGTCCTGGGTGTCAAGAGGGAAGGAAAGGGGTGAGTCCAGCAGACAATGCTGTGGGCCTCTTCAACCACAGCATTTCTGCTTGTCTGTGGTATATATGTTCCAGACTTCACTTTAGAAAGGAGTTTCCATGCTTACCCCCCCCAAAAAAAAGAGAGGTTTGGAGAATCACTGGTCTAAGTCTAGTGGTTCTGAAAATGCAGTCCTTGGACCAGCTTCATGAGCATCACCAGGGAGATTTTGGGGCTAGGCACTGGGGATTGAACCCAGGGGTGCTTAACCACTGAGCCACATCCCCAGCCCCCACTTTTTTGCATCTTATTTACAGACAGGGTCTCGCTGAGTTGCTTGGGGTCCCACTAAATTACTGAGGCTGGCTTTGAACTTGGGATCCTCCTGCCTCAGTGTCCCCAGTGGCTGGGATTATAGGCACTTACCACCACACACGGCTATCAACTGGGAAATTGTTAAGCATACAAATTTTCGGGCCCCATCCTAGATCTACAGAATAAACTATGTGGCTAGGGCCCAACTATGTGTAGTTTTTATTATTGTTGTTGCTGTTTTTGTTTGTCTCTTGCAGTTCTGCAGATTGAACCCTGTGCGTTGAGCTACATCCCCAGACCTCCATTTATTTATTTATTTATTTAAAATTTTGAGACAGGGTCTTCGTAAGTTATTCAGGATGGCCTTGAACTTGCGATCTCCTGTCTTAGTCACCTGAGCAGCTAGGAAGGACTACAGGCGGGCATCATCATGCCTGGCCCTGTGTTTTAATAAGCCCTCCAGGTGACACTGAACACATTAAAGTTTAAGCAGCGGGCTGGGGATGTGGCTCAAGCGGTAGCACGCTCCCTGGCATGCGTGCGGCCCGGGTTCGAACCTCAGCACCACATACAAACAAAGATGTTGTGTCTGCCAAAAACTAAAAAATAAATATTAAAAAAAATTCTCTCTCTCTTTAAAAAAAAAAAAAAGTTTAAGCAGCACCAGCACCATCCTAGTCATTGTGTAGGAAAATAGAGGGCAAGTTCTGGGTCAAGGACAGGGATAGGAAAAAAACCCATGGATATTTGGAAGTGAGTGCTGTCCAACTCTCCTTTCCTTCCCCTCCTCTCCTCCAGGGGCCATGCTGTTGCTCCTGCTGGGCCTGCTAAGCCCGGTTGCCTGCTGGGCACTGGGCCTGGCCGCTGACCCAGGCTCCTCAGAGCTGCGCTCAGCCTTCTCGGCTGCACGCACAACACCCCTGGAGGGCACTTCAGAGATGGCAGTGACCTTCGACAAGGTGTACGTAAACATCGGAGGCGACTTCGACGCAGCCACCGGGCAGTTCCGCTGCCGCGTGCCCGGCGCCTACTTCTTTTCCTTTACTGCCGGTAAAGCCCCCCACAAGAGCCTGTCGGTGATGCTGGTGCGCAACCGCGACGAGGTGCAGGCTCTGGCCTTTGACGAGCAGCGGCGTCCAGGCGCTCGGCGCGCTGCCAGCCAGAGCGCCATGCTGCAGCTCGACTACGGCGACACGGTGTGGCTGCGGCCCCATGGCGCGCCGCAGTATGCTCTCGGCGCGCCGGGCGCCACCTTCAGCGGCTACCTAGTGTACGCCGACGCTGATGCCGACGCGCCTGCGCGCGGGCCGCCCGCGCCCCCCGAGCCACGCTCTGCCTTCTCCGCGGCGCGCACGCACAGCCTGGTGGGCTCGGACGCGGGCCCTGGGCCGCGGCACCGGCCGCTCACCTTTGACACTGAGCTGGTCAACATTGGCGGTGACTTCGACGCGGCGGCCGGAGTGTTCCGCTGCCGCCTGCCCGGCGCCTACTACTTCTCCTTCACGCTGGGCAAGCTCCCGCGCAAGACGCTCTCGGTGAAGCTGATGAAGAACCGCGACGAGGTGCAGGCCATGATCTACGACGATGGCGCGTCGAGGCGCCGCGAGATGCAGAGCCAGAGTGTGATGCTGGCCCTGCGGCGTGGCGACGCGGTCTGGCTGCTCAGCCACGACCATGATGGCTACGGTGCCTACAGCAACCACGGCAAGTACATCACCTTCTCCGGCTTCCTGGTGTACCCCGACCTCACCCCCTCTGGCCCGCCGGGACTCGGGCCTCCGGAGCTCTGAGCCCCGACCGATCCCAGAGGAGCCCCGGAGGGCCAAGGGGCGTGCATGCCGAGCCGGACCGCGGCCCGAACGCCCCACCGGCGCGAGCATGACGGCCTGCCCAGCGCGGCTGGACTCTGCCAATAAAGTGGGCCTGCGCCGGCCAGCCCAAGAGTCCGCTCTGTCTTAAGCGATGCTTTGCCTCGGAATGGGACAGGAAAACACTGAATTCTGCAGCCCACAGCCGGAGGTGGGGATCAGGCCCTGGGAGGGTGAGAAGGTGGGAAATTTCATCTAATGCGTGTTCCTGTCCAATCTGTCACTCCGCCTGACACCTCACATTTGACTTAGACCTAGGGCCCATCTGATTCCTTTCCATGATGAGACAGCATGCCACTACCCACCCCAGGCCACAGGACTCAAAGGGAACATAAGTTCCTTCTTCCAGTAGGGTGTGGGAATGTGATGAGGGCTTGACACCTGATTGCTCTGCCTCCTGCCCTCCTAGGATAAAGAGGGTGGTTTCCTTAGGGTTGCTTTAGATAACCTAACAGAATGACTCAGGCTCCAGGAGCCAGAACAGAGTTTTTTATAAGAAGAGATACACAGAATCCCAGCTACACCTACCACAGCCTGCATCAGCTAGTCTCCCTGGTTTGGGTGAGTCCTCTCCCAGCCTTATTCCTTCCTCTGAGATGTTCATCTGAGATTTGTTGAGATGAACATCTCAGAGGAAGGACATTTGCCTTCCTCTCTCCAAAGAAGTTAAAGTTCCTCCACTGCTTCCCTCTACTCCTCCAACAGACAGAACTCAAGAAGTCCAACCTGGACTCCTAATCCAGATGGGGAACGTGCAGGTTCAAGGGACTCTAGAGCGAGCCCTGGTCAGGCTTGAGAGGACTATCTAAATTAGGACTGGGTGCTGGGCATACAGATACCTGTAGATTCCACAGGACCTCTCAGACTGTTAGGGTAGGAATTGGAGGCTGGAGGTTCTAACCTGAACCTGTTAGAGCTGTTCCCCTTTTAGCATCATTTAAACACACTTCTCAATCCTGGCCCCAACACATGTACTGCCCACAAGTCCTGCCTTTAGCTGTGTGCCTGCTGCCCCTCCCATGCCTTGGGCTCTTACCCCTATCAAAGTCTATGGAACAAGAAAGGGTAGAGGTAAGCATGAAATGGGGGGAGTCAGGGTGCAAGTCCAGCCCATAAATCTGAGTAGGAAAAAACAGGTGCCAGATAGAAGTCCTTTCCCAAGATGGGTCTGGCGCTCAGGTTTTTTTTGTTGTTGTTGTTTTTGTTTTCTTTGGGGGGTGGGTGGGGGGGTGGGACATAATAGGAGGGGAAAATGACAGGTAAAAAGGAAGGGTCAGGGGAAGGGGCCAAGGATGGAGGCCCAGGGCCCAGCCAAGGGGGCTGGCCCTGGGGGCAGAAATCCTTACACAGGTCCCAGAGTGTTTCCTGGGCCAGGAGGGAGAAGACCTGGGCCCAGCGACCCCTTTCTTCAGCCTCACTAGCAGCATGGAGCCGGTAGACACAGGATAGGCCTGTGAGGAGCAGATGTTCAAAGTCCCAAGGACTAAGAGGAGGCCCCTTCCGCAGGTCCTGGAGCTGTTTCAGCTGCTGCTCAGCACCCTCCAAGTCACTGGGTACTCGGTGCTGCAGGAGGAGCCTGAGTCGGCGACCTGGACGTGTGGATGCTAGTTCTTCATCCTGGATGTACAGCTGCCCCATGACATCCAGCTCCAGCCCAGCCCAGAGCAGCTGCAAGGGGAGCTATTTAAGGGATGGGCTGAAGCCTGGGGAGCCGGGCAGGGAGCATAAGCAGGCAGTAGAACTCATGCCAGGTTGTCCCCCACCCCCGGCAGGCACACCCTGATATTCCCCTTCCCAGCCCTAAGCTTAGGGACTTGTGGAAATTCCCACCCCCACAACCCAGGCTGGGAATAATGACCTCAAACATCACTTCGGGGTCCTCTGGGTCCTGCAGGCCACCTCCCACGCTGGCGCTGTCCTCGGGCTGCCCTGGGGCAGCAGAGAGGAGTCAGGCCCTTGTCATATTCTACCCTGAACACCCCAGAGTCCCAGAAGTGCCCTTCAGCTGCCTCATAGGGGTCCCTCCTGGATCTTCTGTCTACTAAAGTGTAGGAATGCCATCTCATGCTCCCCTCCCCCATCCCACATACACACTGGCATTCATCCTTCCAGGCATGGTGTCATACCAAGTTATACCAAAGGGTCAGCAAATACCCAGGACTCCTCCTTTAACTTGCACAATTCCCTTGGTAAAGAGCTCCACATCAACAGATCACTTCCTCCCTTTTTCCCTCCCTATAGTCATCTGGGGATAATGTGACCTAAACCACTGCCAATGACCCTCTGCAAAGGATAAGGACCTCTTTTCCTTTTGCAATGCTGGGGACTGAACCCAGAGCCTTGCATGTACAAGGTAAGTGCTCTGCCACTCAGCTATACTCTCAGGCCTTTTTAAAAAAATTGAGACAGGGTCTTGCTAAGTTACTGAAGCCGTCTTGGAATTTGTGATCCTCCTACCTCAGCCTTTGGAGTAGCTGGAATTATATGCATGCAGCTTTGTGCCCAGCAAGATAAGGACTTTTTGGAGGGGGCTACTCTTTCCTTGCTTCTCCTCAGTAGTGCATTGTGTGTAAGGCAGAGAACTGGGCAGGACAGGATGATTGTTAATTTTCCTCCATCCTGTATCATGAAGTGTGTATCATTAGCAGTGATTGTCCCAAACCCAGAACACATCAAGAGACCTTGCTTTGGACATCAGCTGAAATAAGCCCAGGGCCCAACTGTGACTCAGGCCAGCATTAAGTGGGGTCCACACCATTACCCACTGTAGCATACACTTCAGTCCCACAGATCCTTTGCCCTGTGAGGATCAATTGGAGCCAGCAGAAACTGCTGTCTGCCAGTAGCCTTTCTTGGCTCCTATCCACCCACCCTGAGGCCCCTGTACCTGCATGGTGCTGGGTTGTTGTTGCTCCAGGGCAGAGGCAAATGGCTACCACCAGATAAGCCAGTAACTGCGGTGTCCTGGCCATGCTGCACCTCATCCTCTGAGTCTCACTCTTCCTAGTAGTTTTGTGCTCCCTCATTTGCCTGCCACATACCACAGCTCTTAACTTTCCACTGCAGGCTGCTCCAGCATTCTGTTACGCATGTCAGTCTTCAATGCAGAATAGGGAGGGACTGGCTTGTGGCCTCCATCACCTCCTTGGGCCCTTTCCACCCTCCAGAAATGGGAATCTGTGGTTTTGGCAGTAGCAGCCTGTTTCTGCCTAATGGGTGGGATGCTTAGTTAACAGAAAAAGGGGCTTGGTAGCAAACTGGCTTGACTTTCCAAAGCGGGAGGAAAGATCTCAGGCAGTAATGCTACCTTACTATCTGTCCCCACCATTGAAACATCCTGCTACGGGGGCTGGGGATGTGGCTCAAGCGGTAGCGCGCTCGCCTGGCATGCGTGCGGCCCGGGTTCGATCCTCCAGCACCACATACCAACAAAGATGTTGTGTCCGCCGAAAATTAAAAAATTTAAAAAATATTAAAAAAAAAAAACATCCTGCTACTGACAGGATGCCAGCCCCTGACACCCAGTCCAACTCCGCCTCTAGGGAGCTGCTTGGGTGCCAAGAGCATCAGCTGCAGAGCCCAGTACTCCAGCTGCATGCTGGGTGGGCCGCGGCCACGTAGAAGGCAGAGCCTAGTGCTCTCATTTCAGGTATTCAGGTTGAAGAGACCCTAGACCAGCGGGAAGCGAGTACTGTCTCCTGACAGACAAATCTGCCACTCCTTAACGGTTTTGCCGTAGTCCTAGAGTCTCTTCAAGGCTCCAGTCTTGGTTCAGGCCAGAAACTAGGCAGATTCCTCTAGCTCAAGAATGACAAGCTATCAGGCTAGAGAGAATACAAGATTCAAGGCTCAAAAATGAGCTAAGGTGTTCTTTCAAGCTTTGACTATTGGCTCATGTCACCCTGTGGAAGTGTGGGTGGGAGGAGAGTAGAATGGAGATTCCTTGGTTCTACCCAGGAATCCATCAGATGCCACCATGAGAGGCTTACTGCATTAGAGGCTTACTCCAACAGTTATTGAGACCCTCCAGTTCTCACTAGATGCCACACCAAAGAGATCCTGAACTCACTGGAATGTGAGCACTTTGAATTAGTCAGAATCCCTCTCAGAAGTACATTACAGGCCTGCAGGTGACAGTATCTGCAACACCACTATTTACTCCCATTAAAATACACTTGTAGGCTGTGGGAGGTGTTACATGTCTATAATCCCAGTGACTTGGGAGTCTGAGATAGGAGGATCATAAATTTGAAGCCAGTCTCACAATTAAAAAAAAAAAATGGTTTGGGGATGTAGTTCAGTGGAAAAATGCCCCTGGGTTCAATCTGGACTACTCAAAAACAAAAAAACAAACAACAAAGAAAACCAAAACAGTGCCAAGTGTGGTGGTGCATGCCTGTAATCCCAATGGCTTGGGAGGCTAAGGTAGGAAGATGGCGAGTTCAAAGCCAGCCTCAGCAAAAGTGAAGTGCTGAGCAACTCAGTGAGACCCTGTTTCTAAATAAAATGCAAAATAGGGTTGGGGATGTGGCTCAATTCAATCCCTGATACCCACCCCCCACCAAAAACAAACAAACAAACAAAAAAATAGACTTGCAGCTTTGGTACATTCTAAGGGAGCAGAGAAACACCTTTGCCTGCACCCGCCTTTACCTGAGTCAAAGAGTCAAAGTGTAGCTCTACGCATTATTAGCACACAAGAAGTGTGGAGTCTTAGTAGGAATTTATTTACACAAACAATCATAGATAAGACACTCTCCTTAATTCATAAGCCTTCCCTGGAGCTATTTGGCTTCAGGCTTCTTGCCTCCGGCTTCAAGCTTGAGATTCTCAGGAGGCTGACGATAGGCAGGGAAAGCCTCCCAGGGGCTGTTCAGGTCAAACTTGCGGAACTCTTGGGCCAACTCCACAGGCTCAGCCACCACCCGCTTTACTTCATCATCATAGCGTAACTGCAGGAACAAAAGACAGGACTAAGTACTGAAGAACATCTTGTCATGGCCACTAAGGAGCATACTTTCACGGGCCATGGGCGATTCCCCCAGCCTATCATCATTCTCTGTCCTTGACTCCTATTCTAGCCTTTTTTGTCAACAAGTCTCCATACATATTTGTGTGACCTGTCACGATGCGTCACACTCCAACAACCTGGTAAGTGGAATTCCCAGATGGTCTCCTACCACTCATGCACTTCAGCAACATTCAGACTCCCCTGTTGCCTGCCCCACCACAGGGTGAACTCTGAACCCTTTTCTAGAACTGATTCTGCTCATCCATTCTCATAAGATAATGGAAAGCATTTGTCCAGGATTGGAAGCAGCTGGTGGCTGAAAAGAGTAAACGTAAACTGATAGACACAACTTCAGGCCTTCTGGCCTTGGTATTTCCACTGTCAGTATCTCAGAGCCAAGAGTGGTTGTGCAGGATTGTAATGCATCAGCTTAGGAGGCTGAAGCAGGAGGATCGCAAGTTCAAAGCTAGCTTTAGTAACTTAGCAAGACCCTAAACAAATCAGTAAGACTCTGTCTCTAAATAAAATACAAAAAAGGGCTGGGGATGTGGCTCAGTGGTTAAGTCCCTGGGACCAAAAAAAAAAAAAGTCTGAAGATAAACGAGAGGCATATTGGCTCATGCTTGTAATTAACATTTCTAAAAAAGCTACCTTGCTATAAAATGTGGGTGTTTTTTTTTTGTTTTTTTTTTTTAAGGCTACCTTCCTGCTAATAGACAATCAGCAGTGCCACTGGAAAAAAAAATTTATTTTTTAAGTACTTTTTGTTATAGATAGACACAACACTTTATTTTTATGTAGAACGCTGAGGATTGAACCTAGTGCCTCACACATGCTAGGCACTCTATCATTAAGTCACAACCCCAGCCCACTGGAATTCTTTATAAGACTCTTGTAGTGACATATTACTGGTCCTGCCTCAGTGGCTATTCATTTTTTTTTTTTTTTCTTGGTAACAGGGATTGAACCCAGAGGCACTTAACTTCTGAGCCACATCCCCAGCCCTTTTTATTTTTTAATTTTGAGATAACGTCTCACTAATTTGTTGAGGCTGGCTTTGAATTCTTGATCCTTTTACTTCAGCCTCCTGAATTGCTGGGATTACAGGTGTGTGCCACTGTGCCCAGTTTGGTGGCTGTTTGTGAGGATTAGACATTTAGCATCTTCCCTGCCTTATTGAAAATCTAGGGCAAGGAAAAATAATCCTCTACTTTCAGGAGTTGGGGGCAGACTGTTCTTTTTTATTTGCGGGGGGGTACCAGGGGTTGAACACGGGACGCACTCAATCACTGAGCCATATCCCCAGCCCTATTTTGTATTTTACTTAAAGACATGGTCTCACTGAGTTGTTAGTGCCTTGCTTTTGCTGAAGTTGGCTTAGAACTCCTGACTCAGCCTCCCAAACTGTTGGGATTACAGGCATGCACCACTGTGCCTGGCCAGATTGTTCTGAAGGCTGCTTTCATCATTAAAATGATTATTATAATAATAGCTAGCATCAACTGATATTTAGCACACTTAAAACACCCAACTTCACACATACATCATTTAAGCTATTATTGTCCCTACTGTACAGAAAATAGAACCTTAATTAAATTAAGTACCTTGCCTCAGATTACAAAAATGAAGCTAGGATTTGAATCCAGAGCCCACCCCCACAGATCGTGCCATCTCCTCTATTCCCTGTGAGTCCCTCCCTAAGGCTAGCACCCCAATTTCAAGGCTCTTACCTCAACATAACCAGACAGTGGGAAGTCTTTCCGGAAAGGATGTCCCTCAAAGCCATAATCTGTCAGGATCCTTCTTAGGTCAGGGTGGTTAGCAAAAAAGACACCAAACATGTCCCAGATCTAGAAAAAAAATAGGCTCTCAGGCAACCAGTCCACAGGGCCTACAATAGGGGGAAAGGAGCTACATTACAGCCCAAGTTTCAACCAATTCAGCAACTCTGGCCCAGAGGCAAGTCCCATCATATCCACCAACTCACCTCCCTCTCATACCAGTTGGCTGCCTTATACACAGAGACTGTGGACTCAATTGGTGTCAGCTCATCTGTATAGGTCTTCACACGGATCCGTGAATTGAAGCGCAGAGACAGCAGATTGTAGACAATCTAGGGAGAACAGAGGGAACTAGAGGATGAAGAAGGGCACAGTTTGAGGAGTCTCAGATGAGAGTCTCTGGGTAAACATTAGCTATAAGGATTCAGGGTAGGTTAGGGTTTCACCTGTGACCCTGCTTTCTGTTTGAAGTTCAAAACGTCAAGATGTCCCTATGCTTACAACAACTTGCAAAGGCACGGCCATAGTGTGGCTAGGCATGTCAGCATGCCTATCTTTGCTTGTGCTACTCTTTGTTTGGAAGATCACTCTGCTCTACCTGCCCCAAATCCTCACAAGGCTAATTTCTGGTATCTTCTCATCTGTTAAGATTCAGCATAAATATCTTCTTGAAAGAAGCCTTTCAGACAGTGCCCCACCTGTTTCTAAAGTATCCCTCTACCATCCTATGTACTACAGATTACTACTTTAAGTTACAAACCTTTTGCTAGGTGTGGAGGATAGATACTAGATGTTCTTTCTCTTTTCCAGGGTCTGGCACATAGTAGATGAATAGAAATACTAATTGTTAAGTGTATTGAGAATTTGTGTGCTAATAAGTCACCTACACCATCTCATTTGATCCTGACAACCACCAGACATGATACAAACAACTTTTTTGGCAGTACTAGAGATTGAATCCAGGGCCATGCACTTGCTAGGCAAGCACTCCACTAATAAGTTACATTCCCAGCTCTTTTTTATTTTGAGGCAGGGTTTTACTCAGTTTCCTAGGCTGGCTTTGAACTTGTGATCCTTTTGACTCAGTTTCTTGAGTAGCTTGTATTACAAGCATTTATCACCAAGCCTGGTTCTTATTTATTTATTTATTGGTACTGGGTATTGAATGCAGAGACACAATGAACCACATCTCCAGCCCTATTTTGTATTTTTTTTAGAGACACGGTCTCACTGAGTTGCCTAGTGCCTTGCTTTTGCTGAAGCTGGCTTTGAACTTGCTATCCTCCTGTCTAAGCCTCCCTGAGCTGCTGGAATAATAGGCATGCGCCACTATGCCCCAACTGGCTCTTCTTTTTTAATTGCCTTTCTGATAATTCTCTACTGGGTTCCTTGCTATAAGAAATTATACTTATCAGCATCCTGAAATCACTAAGATAAATCCTCCTTATCTAATATCACATCTTCTTAAAATATATATATATATATATATATATATATATATATATATATATAGTTGTAGATGAACACCATTTATTTATTTGGTGCTGAGGATCAATCCCAATGCCTCATGCATGCGAGGCAAGTGCTCTACCACTGAGCCATAACCCCAGCCCTCACATCTTCTAATCTTACTAGTTAAAAAATGTCCAAGGTCAGCCATAACAGATCCTAATGAACCATATAATATCAAGTCTAGTGTTCAGGGAATGTTTTTGACATCTGAAATTGCTAGAAGCATTAAAGGTTTTCTTTTCTATGGCTTCAGCAGTGCCTGCAGACCTGCCCCACCATCACCTACACTTATTTCAAAGATGAGAAAACTAAAGCACTGGACATGGTGGTGCACACCTGTAATCCCAGTGGCCCAGGAGGCTAAGGCAGGGAATTGCAAGTTCAAAGACAGCCTCAGTAACTTGGTGAGGCCCTGAGTAACTTAGCAAGACCTTGTCTCTAAATAATAAATAAAAAGGGCTGGGGATGTGGCTAGTGAATTTACTCCCTAGTACAAAAAAAAAGAAAAAAAAATTAAAGCACACAACACACACAAAATCAAATAGAGTGGGTACCAGGGTGTATGCTTATAGTTCCAGCTACTCAGGAGGCTGTGGTGGAAGAATCACTTCAACCAGAGTTTAAGATCAGTCTGGGCAACAAAATGAGACTTTGTCTAAAATAAACAGTATGTTTGAGGTCACAAAGTCAAGTGATGACAGAGCCAAGATTCATACTTAAGGTCTACCTGACTCTAAAGCCCTGGTTTAACTGCTGTGTTCTACTGAATGAACCAAACTGAAACTCGAGAGACTATGGTTCCCATTGGTAGCTGTCACCCTGAAAATATTATGTCCCCTTTCTTTTTTTCTGGATTGAACCTAGGGGCATTTTACAACTACAGGAGCTACATTCCCAGTTATTTTTATTTTTTTATTTTGGGATAGTGTCTTGCTAAGTTGCTGAGGCTGGCTTTGACCTTGAGATCTTTCTGCCTCAGCCTCCTGAGCTGATGGGATTATAGGACACCACTATGCCTGACTCTGTCCCTTTCTCACCCTTATTCCCCCAAAACTTCTCAAATTTCCTGACTGACCTCAAAACGATTTTGCCGAGTTGGTACATCCACTGCTGTCAGGTCAGCCAAGGATTTGAACTGTGCATTGGTATGATCCCTGAGGAAAGTCAGCACTGGGATGACTCCATCAGGATGGATACAGATCTCTAACTCATTGAAGCAGGTCACCTACAGACAAAAAAGGGAGGAAAGAAAAAGGAAATATCTACAGAGGAAGCAGCTAACTTCAGTTGGAATCACTTAGCTTAAAATAGAGAAGGAAGCTCAAGTTAGGGATGGAGAAATCTATGGTTTCTTTGAAACTAGGCTACTCATTCCCATGTGCCCTAAAAACATGATTCTTTCTTGACCCAAACCCAAATAACTGTAGTGAATATTACCTGAACTTGTTGGACATACTTGGGCAGGATTTCAGCTACATACTCTCCAAAAGCTGAGAGCTGTTTGTGGACCACATCGTTCTGTGGTCTGACTGTGGCTGGAAGGAAAAGACGCATTTAACAGAGTGAAGAAGGCAGCAATCAGCTCTGCATCTATTCTCTTGGGTTTATAAAGGGTGTCATCTTTCAGCAGGACTCTCTACAGGAAGGTGCACATGAGCTGGGTGTGATAACACGGGTCTATAATCCCAGTGGTTTAGGAGGTTGAGGCAGGAGAATTGCCAAGTTCAAGGCTAGCCTCGGCAACTTAGTGTCTCAAAATAAAAAATAAAAAGGGCTGGGTTTGTGACTCAGTGGTTAAGTGCTCCTGGGTTCAATCCCTGTACTACCCCCCCATACACCAAAAAAAGAAAAAAAAGGTGTAGGTGGAGAGTTCTTCTTCCAGGGTATAGGAAATAATGAAAAATTGGAGAAAGATGCCACCTCACCTACATAATACACTAAAGACTTATTACTGCAACTGTGGTGTTTGCCACTTCTTGAAACTATTCCATGCTCTTCCCTTTCTATACTTCTGCAAACACAGCACAGTGTCAGCTGTCCTACCAGACTAGAAACTCTTCAAGGACAGGAACCACACATTTGCTTCTCTTTATCTTCTTGGCCCTTAGCTTACTCCAGATTCTCATGCTAAGAGCTTCAGGACTGACTAAAGAGCCCTCACAGATTATCTTGTGAACCCCATCTTCCTTTTTGGTGTGTGCATCAGTAAGAAAACCTAGACCTAAACCAGAAAAGTTAGGTCTTCTATTTCCCAGTCTGCTTATATTGACTAACATAATTTCCAAATACTCATTCATGCAAACCTAATCACTGGGCACTCACCCAGCATAGACTGGAGAGAATGGTTACGTGCCTTTGGCGGCAGGCAGACCAACTTTCTCTGTGACTCTGAACAAATGTTTTATTTATTTACTTGTTTATCTTGAGATGATGGGGATCCAACCAAAGTCCTTGGGCATGCTGGACAGGTGCTCTACCACCGAGATACATTTCTAGCCCCAGATCCTGGGCAATTTAGTTACCTGGACTGTTTCCTGATTCATAAAATATGTTCAGTTAAATACAGTCTACCTCATAAAGCTGTTGTGAGGACCAAATAACATTATTCATAAAGGCTTGGTAAGGTGCCTGATACGCAGTGAGCGCCCAATTAACTTGAAAGCTGTTGTTGCTACTGGGCTCTGAGGTCCAAAAGTTAGATCTTCTGCCTTCAAAGAATGTCAACTTAATCAGAGGAAAGAGGATCCTGAAAACGGACAAAGGAGGAAGGCCACTAACAGGTCTATAGCACAGGGAGAGCTCGATTCTGCCTGTCGGTTAGAAACCATGGCAATCAGGTCTCCAAGGACAAGCAGAGATTTGCCAGGAGAACACAGAAGGACATCCTAGGCAAGGACAAGAATCTGACCAAGGATACGAAGGGACCCGCTAACAGTCTGGAGAAAAGCGCTGCCCGCACATACTCACGGCGCGTGTCGGCCGAGGCGCTCTCCCTCCTCACCCGCTGCAGCAGCACCGACGGTCGTCCAGCCCCTGCACAGGGAGATAAAAGGCACAGACGCGTAGGGTGAGGCTTGAGAAGTTCTTTGTGCTGGAGGCTCCACTACTTCTGACCCTGGCCTCAGCCTGCTGCCCCCTGCTCACCCCTGGCCACCGCTGAAGCCCCCAAGAGTCCCCGCCACCAGACCCTGGCCGCCACGGCCGCCATGTTCCTCGGATGCAAACCAGGCTGCCAAGGGAAGGGCTTTTAGGACACGGAACCCCAAGGGCACGGAACGGAAGCGGAAATGTGCAACAAATCTTCTTCCGGGCGGTCGTGGGGTCGGAAGCAGGGGTTCCGGGCTCCGGGATGAAAGGAGGGAAAACGCAGGTGAGAAAACAAGACCGGCTAGTGGGGAAACCGTGAGGTGAACCTAACCCTAGGCCGCTGAGGCAGAAACTGGAGACACGGCGAAGACGCTGAAGAACCGGACTGGTGAGAGGAGAAGGGATGGTTATCCTGAGTTCTACCTTCCATACCCCTCCCCCGCTCCCCGGGCCAAGCTTTTGAGGAGAGAGGGCGGGCGGGTGGGGGTCCGGGGGTGGGGAGAACAGTTTCCCTAGCGACCGTTTCCCAGGCGACTCCTGGTGGAACAGACACAACACTGGGCATGGGCGTCCTCGTGCCCCTAGTTGGGGACAGCTGGGCTCTGTCTCAAGCTCTGGGACAAAGCTTTAGAGATTCATTAGGGCGAGCGGGTAAAGGAGGAACAGAAACCCAGAAAAGAGAAAAAGTGAGGCTGATGAGTGTCCCAGGCCAAGCCTCATGTAGGAGTGTCTGAACTCCATGTGCAGGGGACGAGGGAAACTAGCCCCAAGGACGTGGCGGGGTTTTTTTTTTTTTTTTTTTTTTTTTTTTTTTCTCCTTCCCCTCAACCTGGTTCTGCATCCTCTTACTAATTTTATGCCCATGGTATTTAGATATTAAGGGGTTTGAGATCATAAGCTTTCTCCAGACCCTTGCTTTCATGTGTTAACCTAAATCCCAAGTCTTCTGTTACATTATGGAGAGGAATAGTCAGTGTTCTCTCAGACAAAACATCAGAAGTTTGAGCTTTTATTGATTTCATCAGGGGAAGGGCACCACAGATTAAAATGAACCCAGCTTTGGTTGAAGGAGAGGCCAGTATGGACTAAGGCCAGTCTGGACTCCCTTTGCTTTCAGTTTTTCCTTTTCCCTCTCTGAGTGGAATAATTGGGTTCACAGACTAGGGTGTGATTTCCCCAAGTTACTTAAGGTAGGTTGCTTTGCAGACAGCTCACAGAGAGAGAAGTTGGCTACCATGGAATCACCAGAGGAGCCTGGAGCATCCATGGATGAGAACTATTTTGTGAACTACACTTTCAAAGATCGGTCCCATTCAGGACGGGTGGCTCAAGGCATCATGAAACTATGTCTAGAAGAGGAGCTGTTTGCTGATGTCACCATTTCAGTGGAAGGCCGGGAGTTTCAGCTGCACCGGCTGGTCCTCTCAGCTCAGAGCTGCTTTTTCCGGTCCATGTTCACTTCCAATCTGAAGGAGGCTCACAACCGGGTGATTGTGTTGCAGGACGTCAGTGAGTCAGTTTTCCAGCTCCTAGTTGATTACATCTACCATGGGACTGTGAAACTTCGAGCTGATGAGCTGCAGGAAATTTATGAGGTGTCAGACATGTACCAGCTGACATCTCTCTTTGAGGAATGTTCTCGGTTTTTGGCCCGCACAGTGCAAGTGGGAAATTGCCTTCAGGTGATGTGGCTGGCAGATCGGCACAGTGATCCTGAGCTCTACACTGCAGCCAAGCACTGTGCCAAGACTCACCTGGCCCAGCTGCAGAGCACAGAGGAATTTCTCCATTTGCCCCACCATCTACTCACTGATATCATCTCAGGTAAGTATAGGGAGGGGGCACATCATACCCAGTTACTTGGGTATGATGTTCAGATTGTTCTAGTTCAAGACAAAGGAACTCTCAAACTTTCTGCTCTTAATTTATATTATTATCCCCGGGAGGAATGTAGATTGAAGTTGAGAATCAGTGTGGCCCCAATTAGAGACAGTGCCTGAGAGAAGCAGCACTTTCCCATTAAAGGTGGGAAATCTGTTCTGTGCTTAAGTGTTCTCATCTCTCCTGTACTTTGCACATGCCTGTGAGACTAGTTTTCTAAGTAAATTGATGATGAACCAAGAAATCTAAGATAAACTTTTTTAGTAAAAGTCCTGACCCTGCAACTGAGATAAAATCACACTTTAGGTGTGAGGGCTTCACCCTCACAACTCGTAGGTTGCTTCCATGGCAAATAGGAGCTTATCAAGCCAACCATTTTAACTTTTAAAAATGAGGCAAAGGTCTGGGAGTGTAGGTCAATGGTGGGCTCTTGACTAGCATGAGTGTAGTCCTGGGTTTGATTCCCAGCACTGCAAAAAAAGGCAAGGCAATTGTCAGTTTAATTTCACACATATGTACGTGTACACATACGTACACACAGTGTTGGACAAATAAACTGGATCACATCTTTAAAGTCCCTTGCTCTGAATTTCTGTTTCAAATTGTCAGACTGTTATTGACCATGCTTTTCCTTTGCCTCTTACAGATGGTGTTCCATGTTCCCAGAACCCAACAGAAGCAATAGAAGCCTGGATCAATTTTAATAAAGAAGAAAGAGAGGCTTTTGCAGAGTCACTTAGGACTAGCTTGAAGGTAAGGCAGATTTCTTAAGAATTGGGGCACCAGCCAGGTACCATGGCACACACCTATAATCCTGGCAACTAGGGAGGCTGAGTCAGGAGGATCACAAGTTTGAGGCCAGCCTCAGCAACTTAGCAAGACCCCATTTAAAAAGGGGGGAGGGGTGCTGAAGATAGAGCTTAGTGGTGAAGTGCCTTTGGGTTCAATCTCCAGTATCAAAAAACAAACAAACAAACAGAATTGGGCACCTAAATCTCCAAACATTTCAGCCATCACCTGGCCTGGAATCTTTCATGATATTGAATAAATTGTCTATTGCTTGAAGTTGCTATGATAGGGAGAGGAGATCCCAGAAGCCACCAATCTATGAGCTTCAAAAGCTCCTCAAGTGAACTACTTTCATCATTTGGTTAATAATCTTTTGTCTGAAGCACAATTTATGATAGTTTTTTAAAAGCTGCAAGAGTGAGTGGCATAACAGATTCTCTACCTCAGTATCAAATGCCTGAAAGAGAGTAATTAGAGGAGTCAGGAAAGCCAATGGTGATTGGAGGCGGGGAGTAGGTTACAAAAGGATATGAGTGAGAGGCTCAGGACTTGTCTCATTGAACTGACATGTCATTATAATTTTGATTTTGGCAACAGGAAATTGGGGAGAATGTGCACATTTACCTTATTGGAAAAGAGTCATCCCGTACCCACTCGTTAGCTGTGTCCTTACACTGTGCTGAAGATGACTCCATCAGTGTAAGTGGCCAAAACAGCTTGTGCCACCAGATCACTGCAGCCTGCAAGCATGGTGGAGACTTATATGTGGTGGGAGGTTCCATCCCAAGGCGCATGTGGAAGTGCAACAATGCCACCGTTGACTGGGAGTGGTGTGCACCTTTGCCCCGAGACCGGCTCCAACACACCCTGGTGTCTGTGCCTGGGAAAGATGCCATATATTCACTGGGTGGCAAGACACTGCAGGATACCCTCTCAAATGCAGTCATCTATTATCGGGTAGGTGATAACGTATGGACAGAGACAACTCAGCTAGAGGTGGCTGTGTCAGGGGCCGCTGGTGCCAATCTCAACGGAATCATCTACTTACTAGGGGGAGAGGAGAATGACCTGGACTTCTTTACCAAACCTTCCCGACTTATCCAGTGCTTTGACACAGAGACAGACAAGTGTCACGTGAAGCCCTATGTACTACCCTTCGCAGGCCGCATGCATGCAGCAGTGCACAAGGATCTGGTGTTTATTGTGGCTGAAGGGGACTCCCTGGTGTGCTACAATCCCCTGCTAGACAGTTTCACTAGGCTTTGCCTTCCAGAGGCCTGGAGTTCCGCCCCATCCCTCTGGAAGATCGCCAGCTGCAATGGGAGCATCTATGTCTTCAGGGACCGATACAAGAAGGGAGATGCCAACACCTACAAACTCGATCCTGCCACTTCAGCTGTAACTGTCACTAGAGGCATTAAGGTGCTGCTTACCAATTTGCAGTTCGTGTTGGCCTAAGGTGTTGACAGGAAGAGCAACTGACTCCTTCACCCTCCCTTTTTCAGACTCCTCCCTAAACTCAAAATTCCCTGAGCCCCAATTCAGAGTTATATGTTATTCTGGGCAGCACCTCATCTCTTCCTTGAACACATAGGTGTTGTGTTTGGGTATTTTGAGACTTGCTGTAGAGCTGGCTGCTTGAACTGAGCGGTGGCCAGCCTGATCTCTGCCATCCCCACTGATCTTATGCCTCATTACAGATTGCTTAGTGTGAGCCTTTTCTCAGACCTTAGGCACAGCCTCCCCTCTTTACCTAATCAATGTAAAATAGGAACACCTCATCCCAAGGTGGAAGGAAAGATTCTCATCCTTACTTTTTCTATAGTCTATGAAGCGGCTAGTTGATCATTTTACCACAAAGAATTAGGTGTTAAGTTTTCCTTCAGGCTTTGGATGGGAAAATGGACTTAGCTAAGAGTGTATTTCACCAGCAGGGGTCAACTCTAGAATTTAGGACGTTCCTTTTATCATTTTCTCATCTTCTGTCAGAAAAAGCAACTTTGGTTTTATTTTTGGCTTACTCCAACGGGTAAGCTAGAAAGTAGAAAGAATTATTTCTGATTAATAGCAGAAACTTGTTTTTCAGACTCAAATATATAAGGTCTCTGCTCTTTTAAAAGCTCTAAGCTAAATCAAGAGCTAGGAACTGTTCATACAAATAAAAGTTTTTGAAAGGATATGTGCATCTGTGTTGAATCCTGAGGGGTGACTTCCTAAGAACTAGTCACATACCCATACATTTATTTTTTTGGTGGGGGGTACCAGGGATTGAACTGAGGGGCACTCAACCACTAAGCCACATCCCCAGCCCTATTTTGTATTTTATTTTAGACACAGGGTCTCACTGGGTTGTCTAGCGCCTTGCTTTTGCTGAGGCTGGTTTTGAACTCATGATCCTCCTGTCTCAGCCTCCTGAGCTGCAGGGATTACAGGAGTGCACCACTGCGCCCAGCATACCCATATCCATGTATTTCTAAATCAGCAATCCTGCCTGCATCCCATGCATTCTTTTTTTTTTTTTGTGGTGCTGGGGATTGAACCCAGGGCCATGTGCATGTGAGGCAAGCACTCTACCAACTGAGCTATATCCCCAGCCCCCCGCCCACCCTCGTGCATTCTTTTTTACATGCTCCAAAAGTGTGAGGGATGCTCCCACAGGGCCAGTAAATTTGGGGTTCTGACAGTAGCAAAAAGCCAGAGCTGAGTATTTTTTACTTTCTTTTTCTACAGTTAAATGTCTTTGAGTTATGATATTAAATATCTTTAAGTATAATTTTAGGTAAATAATAGATTTTTGTTGAAATGAATATTTCTTGGTGCTATTAAAGAAAACAAGATTTAGGGGCTGGGGTTGTAGCTTAGTGGTAGAGCACTTGCCTAGCATGTGTGAGGCACTGGATTGAAGCCTTAGCACCACATAAAAGTAAATATTAAAAGGTATTGTGTCCATCTACAAAAAAAAAAAAAAAAAAGTAGATACACTAAGTCTTCCTCTGTAGGCATATAACAGTGTTAATTTAGGAAAATAAGACACAAGAAAATTGTCCACTACTTAGTACATTTCTGTTCCATCAAGTCTGGGCTTAAGCCCTTTTGATCCTATACAACTTCTTTATTCTGTATCAAGCAGCATTGTTTAGTTCTTTCAAATCCACACATTTCATATCTTTCATAAGTGTCATCTTGCTGCCCTTGTAGAAATCTCCTTGTGGAACTCTTTGAGAATTTCCAGCTGGCCAGGTCTGACGTAGATGTGGGACCGGATCTTGGAAATGGCTCTGACAGCCTCCTCTGGGCTATAGTTGTGTACCTAAAGTAGATGGTTGGGAAATCAACAGAGAAAGAAAGGGTCAGATGTTCAGATGCCCTGGACCTATGGGGGTGTTGAAGGACTCCTAGAATTCCTTTTTTCAGAAAAGTCCATTTGAGCTGGGCGCAGTGGCACATGCCTGTAATCCCAGTGGCTTGGGAGGCTGAGATAGGAGGATCATGAGTTCAAAGCCAGCCTCAGCAAAAGTGAGGCACTAAGCAACTAAGTGAGAACCTGTCTGTAAATAAAATACAAAATAGGGCTGTGTCTCAGTGGTTGAGTGCCCCTGACTTCAATTCCCTGTATCCCCACCAAAAAAAAAGGCCATTTGAGGAGGGGTGTTAAAAATCATGCTGTATTACCAGTGTGGTACTTGAGGCTGAAGCAAGAGGATCACTTGAGCTCAAGGCTAGTCTGGGTAAGATAGCAAGACTCTATCTCAAAAAAACAAAAACAAAACCCCATACTCCACGTATGATAAATGGAGAGCACTTTAATCATCTCAGTCAACCAGGCCCACAATAGTATGCCAATTCTTATGCTTCCAAACTCTGGAAAAAGGTTAAAGGTGAAGCTGAGACCCTAATCTCAAAACTGCCTAGGCTTCATCAATATCCTAAGTTCTGAGCTGAAATTTTAGAAGAATTTCTAGGATGGGCTGAGGGTATAGCTCAGTAGTAAGGTGCGTGCTTAGCATATACAAGGCCCTGGATTCAATCACCAGAACCACCAATAGAAATTTATAGGAAAGAGTATAAAATGGGTATTTTTGGGGTTTTTTTGTGTGTTACTGGGGATTGAACCAGGTGCTCTACCACTAACCTATATCCCCAGTCCTTGAATACTGTTTAGAGTCATTTACTCACCAGTCCACAGTAACACAAAACTAGGCAGATTACCACATTTCCTTTGTCCTTTGTCCACATAACTTAGAAAATTATTGTGTAGGGGCCAGACTGGTAACAAAAATGAGTGTTTTTTATTTATTTTGAAACAAGGTCTTGCTGTGTTGCTTGGGCAGGTCTTGAACTGGGCTCAAGTGATTCACCTGCCTCAGTGTAACAAGCAGCTGGTACTACAGGTACATGCCACATCACATGTTAAAATATTTTTAAGCATCCTACTGCTAGTCAGCAAATAGGTAAAATTTGGTTTGGATACTCTCTTTCTAGAAACTAATGTTCAGGGGCACTTAACCAACCGAGCCACAACCCCAGCCCTTTTTATTTTTTATTTTGAGGAAGGATCTCACTGAGTTGCTGAAGCTGGCCTCAAACTTGTGATCTTCCTGCCTCAGCCTCCCAACTTCCTGGGATTACAGGCATGAGCCACTACGCCTGAGACTCAAGAAATATTTGAAGAAACCTGAGTACTACAGACCTGAAAGTGATTAGCACTAATATTATCTATAGTACTCGAGCTTCATACCACATTTAGTTTGAGGAAACTAAACATCAGAGAGGAGAGTCCAACTTTGTATGCTTTGGCAGGTGTCAGAGCCAAAGGTTAGCCTATCCATGAATCTGAGGTGCTTTGCATGATACCACACCACCTACAGATAGCCTATTATTGGATAATGGCTCCCCCCAGCAAGGCCTGCCAGTAACCATACTATTGAACTTCTGGAAGTCTACTATAAAAGAGATCAGTCCAGAAATACCTGCATCATCAAAAAAAATACCTGCATTAGATATGCTGCAACCATAGTGGCACTTCTGGAGCGTCCAGCTTTACAATGCACGTAGACACAATGGCCCAATGACTGGTACTTGAGTGCAAAGCGAACTCCTCTGTGGAGGTTGGCCAAGGTGGGGATCCCAGTCATGTCGACTGTGCTGAGCCGCAGCTGCTCAACTCCTACTCTCTTCCACTCCTGAAATCAGGTCCACCAGCATAAAAGAGAGAATGAAAGAAACCTTTTGTGGACGGCATGAAGAGGGTCTGTCTCCCAAGGGACAGCAAAGCAACAAGAAATTTAAAGGTTTACTACAATGTGAATATACTCTCTTCTAAAAAAAAGAAATTTTTTTATAGAAATGCCCTTAAAATGGCTGACTACAATGGCTGGTCTTTCATCTAACAGCTATGCTGCTGAGTTAGAACTGTGTTCCAGATTTAAAGTATTTTCTTTTGTGTGTGTAGTCCTGGGGATCAAACTCAGGGCCTTGTACCACATGCTAGGCATGCCGTCTGCCACTGAGCTACCTACCCAGCCCTTAAACTATTCTTTCTTTTCTTCTTCTTTTTTTTTTTTTTTAAATAGTTGTAGATGGACACAAAATCTTTATTTTAATTTATTTTTATGTGGTGCTGAGGATCAAACTCAGGGCCTCAGACCTGCAAAGTTAGTGCTTTGAGCTATAGCCCCAGCCCCATTTTCTTCTTTTTAAAATAACTTTCTTTTGCTTCTTTTCTTTTTTTTAATTTGTAGATGAACACAATACCTTTATTTTATTTATTTATATGTAGTCCTAAGGATCGAATCCAGTGCCTCCTGTACCAGGCAAGCACTCTACCCCTGAGCCACAACCCCAGCTCCAAACTATTTTTTTTTTTTTTTTTGTGGTGCTGAGAATTGAACCCAGGGTCTTGTGTGTGCTAGGCAAGCACTCTACCACTGAGCTATATCCCCTGCCCTCTGTTTTTTTTTTTTTAAAGTTTTTTAGTTGTAGGTTGTAGATGGACTCAATATCTTTTTTTTTTATTATTTACTTATTTTACACATATGAGGCAAGTGCTCTACTGCTGAGCTACAACTCCAGACCCTTATTTATTCATTTATTTTTATGTGGTGCTGAGGATAGAACCCAGTGCCTCACACATGTAAGGCAAGCCCTCTACTGCTGAGCTATAGCCCCAGCCCCCTCTTTTTTGGGTACCAGGGATTGAACTTAGGGGCACTCTGACCACTGAGCCACATCCCCACCCCTATAAAATACAAAATAGGGTTGCTTAGTGCCTTGCTTTTGTTGAGGCTGGCTTTTTTTTTTTTTTTTTTTTAGTATTTATTTTTTAGTTGTAGTTGGATACAATACCTTTATTTTATTTATTTATTTTTATGTGGTACTGAGGATAAAACCCAGGGCCTCACATATGCTAGGTGAGCGTTCTACCACTGAGCTGGCTTTGAACTTGCGATCCTCTTGCCTCAGACTTCCAAGCTGCTGGGATTACAGGTGTCTGCCACTGCACCTGGCCAAAACTACTCTTAAAATACTCTTTAAACCAGGTGCAGTGTGCATGTGCTTGTAATCCTGTTAATTCAGGAGGTTGAGGCAGAATTCCCAAATTCAAGGCCAGTCTCAGCAACTTATCTAGACCCTGTCTTAAGATAAAAATTTTTAAAAAGTTGGGTTGTAGACATAGCTCAGTGGCAGAGTGGAGTGCTTACCTAGCATATGAAAGGCCCTTGGTGCAATGCCCCAATACCCCTAAAATAACAACAAAAAAACCAACCTGAAAGAACCAGATGCTAACCAACCAGTTATTTAGCTGGGTGTGATGGTACATGCTTATAATCTCAGCTACTTGGGAAGTGGAGGCCGGCCGAAGGATAGCAAGGCCAGCCTGGGCAATTTAGACCCTACCTCGAAAATAAAAGAACTGGGGATGTGGCTTAGTGGTAGCATACCCCTGTGTTCAATATCCAGTATTAAAAAAAAATAAAATAAAATAAAACATGGCAGGTAGGATGTAGCTCAGTGGTAAAGGGCCCCTGGGTCCAACCCCAATACTGCAAACCAAGTACCCTTCAGATATTTGAATCTTTAGCTGCAAAATATTATATAAAATTTGGTTGCAAAAGTTATGGGGGTAGGGGAGGTAGCTCTAGGGGTAGAGTGTTTGCCTGGCCTGCACAAAGGTTTG